CATGCCCTCACCCCCCTGGTGTCTGTATCCATTGGTTAGGTTTATATACATGCATACAAGTCCTTCAGTTGATCTCTCCTCCTTACCCCCACCCTCCCCTACCTTGTTAACATTTGTAGTTTTGTAGTTTAGCATTACAGTATACTCTGCTCACTGTTAATCTTGTTAGTGTTTATATACATTGATTATCTTAACGAAAAGCCTGTGAAAGTCTCTTGGGTAAAAAGAGGAAGGACTTCCATGTGGTGTTATTTTTCATTTGGGAGCCCAACCATTGAATCTTTTTTCCCCTCAATATTTTAATATGTAATTTGTTGATCAGAGAGAGGAAGGGAGGAGAGATAGAAACATCAGTAATGAGAGAGAATCATTGATCGGCTGCCTCCTGCATGCCCCCTATTGGGGATCCAGCCCACAACCCGGGCATGTGCCCTGACCTGGAATCCAATCGTGACCTCTTGGTTCATGGGTCAGTGCTCAACCACTGAGTCACATTGGGTAGGCCAAATATGAAATCCTATTTAAGGTACTAGAGGCCCAGTGCACGAATTCCTGCATGGGTGGGGTCCGGCCGGCCCGACCCCAATTGGGGCCCTATCAGGGCTGGGCCGACTAGGGGGAGGGGCCATGGGCAATTGGTCGGCGGGGGGTGATTGTGGGCGGGACCAGCGGGGGGGAGGGAGAGGCTGTGGGCTGATTGGGGTGGTGAGGGCCCATCGGGGGCGGGGCTGGCTGGGGGAGGCGCTGCAGGAGGTTTGCCAGCCGGCCCCGCCCCCAATTGGGCGGGTTCACTGGCCACTCTGGGCATCATAGCAACTGGTTGCTCCGGTCGGTCGTTACTGCATTCTGGTCACTGGCTTTTATATGTATAGATATACGAATTTGCACAAAGCTGAGAGTGAGAACTGAACAGTCACACACTGCTATATTAGAATTAAAACAAATGTCTTAGATCTTGTCAACAAATTTTAGTTTGCCTTATATTAACTACTTTTAGGATTTTTTTTTACTACATAATCCACAGTTTAACTTTCAGAAGTATCCCTGTTTTGTTAGTTCCTTCTACCAATGTGTTTCTTATATAAAGATTGAAGAAATACTCCATGTTGATTTGTGGAAAAAATACATTATTCAATGTAGTAGAATGTGAGGTAACTTACTGAAGACAGTCAATACTTGTTTTAAGTTAGAGTCAGTAAAATGTGTTTCTTCTTGTATTTAACTTTATATTAATAAAAATAAGTAATTACACTCCTGCTTGAATTTATTACTGTAATACTATAATTTGTGTCCTTCCTTGAAATTTGTTGTGATGAGATTTGACTTAACTTTTTTATTATCTAGCTGGAGCAAATGTGTGAATATATTTTATTTTTTGAGCATGATTTTTTCCCCCCACAGGTAAACCTGGAGGTAACAAAGGAGAAGGTCTTATCTTAATCTTTTTTCCTACTAAAAATAAAATCAGTAATTTAATGTTAATCCAGATTCCATTAAAACCTCACCAATTGCATGAACTTTTAAGTATTTTGTAGAAAGACCAATTTAGAGAGGAATGCTTTCAAAATTGAGAAATTATTGCCATTATTTAGGATTTGGGTCATTTGTAAAATTTACTTTGATAATTATATTTACTAAAACATTTTCCTGTACTTCTTGAAATTAACTTTTCAGAATATGAAAAGACTGAGTAACATAATATGAAGAAGGTTTATATAGTAATAAGACTGGCTCAATGAATATACAAAAACTTACCTGAATAATTATTACTTTTTCAAGATCATTATTTAAACTACATCACATTTTTTAAAAATTCTGCCACTGATCTCAACACTTTAAGAGCTCTTTAGAGTTGACTTCAGAGCCAGTTTGATTTTCTCATGCACCATGAAGTCAGTCATTGTACACCATAATCATTTTCTTTATAATCATTTTTTAAAAAATACATGTTTATTGATATCCGAGAAAGAGAGAGAGAGAGAGAGAGAGAGAGAGAGAAACATCAATAATGAGAATCATTAATTGGCTGCCTCCTGCACGCCCCCTACTGGGGATCGAGCACACAACCCAGGCATGTTTCCTGACTGGAAGGAATCATGACCTCCTGGTTCATAGATTGACACTCAGCCACTGAGCCACACCAGCTGGGTTGTTTGATAATCATTTAACAAAAACATACTACTAAGAGAGCCACCCAAAACATTTACCAACTTTGGCTCTATATAATGTTGGATTTTCAGACCTATCCTGGAAGGAAGAGAAAAGTAGTTTGACTGAGGATAGTAAAATAATGTACTTACAGGTGTTTGTGACTGCTTAAGGTTCTGAAACTGCTTATAGAGGTTTAAAGAAAAATCTTCATATATGATGCACCTATCTTCCTTACTTTTCTTTGTTCATAAGCTATCCATATTCTAAATCATTAGTAAAAGTCAGTTGATTCAGTTTTCTCATGAAGTTGCTTTAAGTATTGGTAGGCTGCCCAGCTCTTGAACAACAACATAACAGAATATAAGTAGGTGCCACATTATGTACAACAGACAAATTATAGCTCAAAGGCTACACTTACTGAGTCATCCTGGAGATGGTAGGATTTGAGGTGTGTTTGGTCTTAATTATGCTTATGCGAAATGGAAGGAAAGTGGAACATTCCTGCAATGGAGAGTCTGATAACTTGAAAGTAAACTTGCCGGGTTTGGGAGCAGTCTGCCTGGGCTAGAGCAGAATTGATGTTTAGAAATAATGGAGTGTAAGGTTGGACTCTGTGGGATGCTGTTATATTGTAAAACATCTTGGAACTTGGTAGGAGAGTTTGATTTATAGAGTGAACTGATGGCAATAATTTTAGAGAAAAAGTGTAGGGAAGAAAAATGGTATGAGGAAAATTAAAACAGTCATTCGGAAAGTTTTGTAATTTAGATATTCAGTGACCAGGGCCTTAATTATAATGATAGTGCATATGGAGAAAAGGTTGGTGAAATAAGGGATATTGAACTAGTAATGGAAAAGACAACTTTGAGCTAGGAAATGGAGATATTGGTGGTTTGTTTTTTAAATTGCAGTAAGTATGCTACTGCTTTACTTTTGGAGGTGGGGGTGTTAATGGGGAACAGTTTTATTAGATGATAAATAAATAGATGGTGAGCCACTTTGGTTTGTTTTTACCCAACTTTAGAATGGTTTAGGGCAACAGTTAAAGTTTTAGTTTATTTTATTTTTATGAAGTTGTCCCCAAAATTGTGCCCTACAGGCAGCTGGAAGCTCTGTTGAGATTGGTAGAGAAGTCTTAACAGCAGTGACAGCAAAAACTGACAGTGGGCTAATAAGATTAAGATAAATAGGCTTGTACCAGAAGGCCAAAGATTATACTTTGAGCAGTAACACTTTATAGTTAGGCAGCTGAAGATGTGTATGTATGGGGGGAGGACCAAAACTTCAGGGAGTGGCTTCCACCTCACTTTTGGAAAAAAACCAAAAACCTAATTGGTTGAAAAAGTCCACATAAAGACAGTCATCAAACATATGCTATGTAATAGTACTCCCAAATCAGATATCAATACATAGTTTTAGGTTATTTTCCAGTGATCGAAGGAATTCATCCTATTAGAGTTTGAAAAGAAAGATTTTCAGTCACTCTGGGAATTACAGATGTATTTATTTCAACAATTTTAAAAATCTGAGATTCTTTTGAGTAATACTGAAACAAATTTGCCATGCTTTTATAAATTAGAAAATTTAAAGAAAGGATGTAAATCCTAACAGAGTATCAGCTGTTAATTGGTAACAGTTGTCTAATTTGGCAAAAGTTTTTAGTGTTTTTCAAGATGTACTGAAGAAACTAAAAATTAATTTGTAAGAGAAGAAATACTAAACTGTCATTACATCCTTTCATTACAAAACTCTGTGATATCTTTACACAGTGCTATGCCACTCAGTAGATATAATATTGTCAAACGCGTTTTGCCTTATTTTTTATTTCGTGGTGTTTTTTTCTCATGCATGAAGCATGTAGCAGCATGTGAAAATGCATGTCTTTGCAAATTAACATTTTATATTTTTAAGGTGAAAATAGATAGCATCCTAGTTGGTTTAAGATCCCTTTATCACTGCTGGGATAGGGATAGTGATACTTCAGTACAGACCTAACCAATCCAGTCATAAAAGATTTGGGCTTTGAGAATGGTGGATAATCACAGCCAGTTATTTTCCTTGTTTTACCTTTTGGGTTTGTGTTACATTACTTAGGTAAAATATAGTAAGAAAAAAATAAATTTTTGTTTCTCCTTATAACCTGTCAGTAGACTTCATGCTTGCTTTCTCTTTATGGGGAGTGCACTAATTGATGTACTTCAGAGATCCCTCAAAACCAACAGGGCTGAGTGCTCGCTTTGGCAGCATGTATACTGAAATTGGAACAATACCGAGGAGATGAGCATGGCCCCTGTGCAAGGATGGCACTCAGATTCGTGAAGCGTTCCATATTTTGTGCAGTGCCCCAGTGGGCATCTTCACACACTTTCATTAGCGTGGAAGAAATATGAGTCAAAGCACAGCGTGTGACACTCAGAGCAAAATTGTGACTTTTAATTATAAAAACAAACAAACCCCCAAAACCAGACCTGAGTGCCTTTATAGAGTAAGATAAAAACATTACATAAATTGTTTTCTTTGTTAGGGTGATGTGGGCTGCTTGTTTTAATCAAAAGGATTGTGAACCACCTAAATGTCCCTGGTATATGAGAAATAAAACAAAATATATATTAACCTATTTGGCTTGATCTGTTATATTAACATTCATCTACCACGATTTGATGAATGACAGCATGAGATTTTACTTATTCATTCTTTGTTTATTATATATTGAGAATGTTTATAGAACTGAAGTGCTGTTATTTTAAAGGAAATGATCCTATCTTGATTAGTTAATTATATGCAGATTAAATGTTTTCTTACGTTTCAAAATATTGGTAATCATAATATGTTATATATCGCTAATAAAAATGTTCATTTTTAGGCACATTTCAGATTCAGAAACGTCAACAGTTAATCAGAAAGATACATGAAGATGAATTGATTGACATGAAGGACTATCTTTCCCAATGTGACCAGAAACAAGTCTCTGTTACAGATTATAAGGTGTGTACTACTAAACCTATATAATAAAAGGATAATATGCAAATTGACCAAATAGTGGACCTACCAGAATGCCCTCAGCCCCTTGCCCCAGCCGGCCCCGCCCCGCATCGGGCAACCCCAGCACTGCCCCTGATCGGCCCCCCACTCCAGCCAGCCTGCTGGCTGAACCCCACCAGTGCATTCGTGCACTGGGTCTCTAGTACATTTTATAAAAATTGTTAGCCCATAATATGCTATTCAGATATAGTATAGATTGGTAAATCAATAATAATAATTGTTGATTGAATACTTTTTGTGTCTTTGTCACTTTTGTGAGTACCTCACATACAATATTTCTCATTTCTCATCACTACCCTTTGAATTAAGCAAGTGTTAACTTCACTTCAAAGACTGGAAAGAGATTCAAAAAAGCTAAGTAACTTTCCCAAGGCTAGCAACTGGCAGAGCTTAATTCTGACTTCGAAGATGTTAGTCCTAATCACTTATATTACAATTAACCTATCTTAAATTGATATTATATATATAACATTATTATTAACTGTATTTTTACAGAGCTGAGCAAAACATTTTCATTCAGTGAGAAAGAGGAGTGTTTGTATCTTAAGCCCTTCCCTTGATCAAAGAAAATAATCAGCCAGTTTTTTTCCTTTAAGGTTTCTTGTTAGTTCTGATGGAAGAGATAGCATGTTAATATTTTCCTAAAACTCACCTAACTCCAGCAGGACTGTGCTGTTCATTTTGTCCAGTTACCTAACACATTTGTGGGTTTATGAGGACCAGCAGAATAGCTGGTCTCCTGTTTAGTTCTTTCCTGGGAAGGGTGTAGGGATTATAGATAAAATCAGGTTAGGAAAATAAACTGTTCTATTTTTTTTTCAATTTCCCCAAATTTCCTTTATACTTAATTTATGTATTTATCCCATCCCATAAAGGGTTCTGATTATATTTCTTCTGAAGACAGAATCCCACATTTCAGGGAAGGACTACTAAAGTTAATTGTAAATAGTGTAGTTTTCCCTACCTTGGTCAGAGGATATTTTTAAGAGTAGCCATTTTCTTTCACCATTATGGTTTTTGGTTCCCTAGGCCACTGACTTTTAGGAGACCTGCCCTGCATACATCTTTACTGAGTTAGTTCTTGTAGAGCTTTTGTCTCCAGTTGTTAAATGTGGTTTGAATTTTGAAGATCTTCATGGAGGACCTGCTAAGGATCTACTTACCAGTCACTTAATTCAAGAATATACAGTTTACTGGATAAGGAATGTTGTGCCTTCTAGTCATTCTGTGGCTGCCTCTGCCTATGCATTTAAAGATATGACTATAATGAAACTTTAAATTTTAATTTGTTCTCTGAAGATTCATAAGCCAGACAGTGAAATATCCATTTCAGGTAGTTATTTTTCAAGTGGAAAATACTGTCATTCTCTTAAAGGAATTAAATATATACATATACATATATACATCAGAGAGGAAGGGAGAGGGGGAGAGAGATAGAAACATCAATGATGAGAGAGAACCATTGATTGGCTGCCTCCTGCACGCCCCACACTGAGGATTGAGCCCGCAACTAGGAATCGAACCATGCCTCCTGGTTCCCAGGTTGATGCTGAACCACTGAGCCATGCTGGCCCGGTGAACATGAGTTTTTTTTAAATCATGGGTGTTGACCTTGGAATTATATAGCTAATCTGATTAGTTTTTTCAGATTATTTGAATTTGGGAGAATTAGTTATAAATGTTAGCAAGATTCATTCTGTACTTTTAAGGGCAAGAGAAATTATATGATTTATCAGAACTTAGAGATGTTAATTTACATAGGACTACGGTGTTTCAAATAGGATAAAGATTATTGAAAATTTTTTCCTTCTGAGAGTGCAGTATATATAAAGAGAATTTTTTGAAGCATAAAGTCATCTCTCACTTTAACTTTTTTATAAAAAATAATCTCCCTCACACAAGGATCACAGAAGCCTTTAGTCCTGCCTACATTCTCTCTAGGAGCCTTCTCATGAGAGATTAGAATCCTGTAGTCAACAGATAGGAGGCCTATTTCCTTTTCTCCAGTAAGGATTTCAGATGACTATGGGAAACACATGGACACAGACAATAGGGTGGTGAAGGCCTGGGGTGGGGCGGGATCCAGGTGGAGGGAGGCAAACGGGGGAAGAGATACTTTCAACAATAAAGATTTTAAAAATTATATGTCTTAAAGATTTAAATTCAGCTTTTAAAGCACTTGCCATTTTTCTTTCTTCTCTTTCACAAAAATTTAGTCATTAAAGGAAAACCTTGCAAAGTGTTGGACCCTTACTGAAGCAGAGAAGATGTCCTTTGAAACTCAAAAAAAGAGCCTTGATACAGAAAATCAGTATTTAAGAATATCTCTGGAGAAGGAAGAAAAAGCATTGTCTTCATTACAAGAAGAGTTAAGGAAACTAAGAGAACAGATTAGAATATTGGAAGACAAAGGGACAAGTACTGAATTAGGTACTGAAAACCAGAAACTTAAGCAGTATTTGAAAGAAGAAAAGCAGAAAACACGCAGCATCCTTAATCAAAGGGAGACTTTATTGGCAGAAGCAAAGATGCTAAGGAGGGAACTGGAGAGAGAACGACTAAAAACCATGGCTTTAAGGGTGGAACTTCAGCAGTTAAGCTCTAGGCAGTCAGATGGCAACCCAGATTCTCCCAATGTTTTGACAGAAAAAAAGGAAGTAGAAATCTTACGGGAAAGACTCACTGAGCTGGAACGGAAGCTAACCTTCGAACAGCAGCGTTCTGATTTGTGGGAAAGACTGTATATTGAGGCAAAAGATCAAAATGGAAAACAAGAAACTGATGGGAAAAAGAAAGGGAGCAGAGGAAACTACAGGGCCAAAAATAGGTCAAAAGATACATTTTTGGGTTCAGTTAAGGAAACATTTGATGCCATGAAGAATTCTACCAAAGAATTTGTGAGGCACCATAAAGAAAAAATTAAGCAGGCAAAAGAAGCTGTAAAAGAAAATCTGAAAAAATTCTCAGATTCAGTTAAATCCACTTTCCGACATTTCAAAGATACCACCAAGAATATCTTTGATGAAAAGGGCAATAAAAGATTTGGTGGTACAAAAGAAGGAGCAGCTAAAAAACCAACAGTTTTTAGTGAATACTTACATCCACAGTATAAGGCTCGTACACAAAACCAGAATAATAGAGGCCCTGCCATGCAAAGAGAGGGAAGGAAAGAAAAGCCAATTCACTTTGAAGAATTTGGGAAAAACACAAATTCACAGAAATGCAGTGCTGAACATGGCTGTAGTGAAAATTATAATTCTTTCAGAAAGTCTTGTTCTGGTGTATTTGAATGTGCTCAACAGGAATCCATTAACCTTTTTAATATGAAAGTGTCCAATCCTGTAAGGATAGATGAATTTAGACAGTTAATTGAAAGGTACTTATTAGAGAAACTGGATAGTTTTCATCATTGGAAAGAACTTGATCAATTCATCAATCAGTTTTTCATACATGGTATCTTTATACATGATCAGAAGCTCTTCACTGACTTTGTTAATGATGTTAAAGATTATCTTAAAGACATGAAGGAATATCAAGTAGATAATGATGGAGTGTTTGAGAAGTTGGATGGATATATATATAGACACTTCTTTGGTCACACTTTTTCCCCTCCATATGGACCCAGGTCGGTTTACATAGCACCATGTTATTATAATAGTTTTTAACATTTATAGATTGATAGCATTTTATTATTTGATAAGTTTCTTGGAAGTTACTATTTGTAAAGTACTTCAACAAAAAAATAGTGCTATTTGTAAAAGTACTTTATTGCCAGAGAATTTAGAATAAATTAAATTGAAAGATATAATTTCAAGTTAATAGCTATTACAAACTGAAAATTTCATATAATCAGTTTGACTTAAGCAAATAGTTTCATTAGCTTATTTTGTTTCTTTTCATTTTAGTCTATATGAAAAGGTAATCACCTTAAGTGAAATTTTCCTTTAATCTTTTATTTACTCACTTTTGGGAAGCTAGGAATGAACAATTCAAATTAAATTCTGAAGTCAGAGGGGTCACATGTAATGATTTGGATGTCCCACTTATTTTCATTTGTCTATTCCATTTGCCAACTAAATTACAATATTTAATACACTTATTACAGAATTATTGTAGTGATATGATTAAAGAGGCAAACTTGACAAGCCACAAGTTCTAATGTGTGTGCTTTGTACATAACTTCTAAAAATAACTATCTTTTGCTTATCACCTTTATATTCAATAATATAAAACTTGACTAATCTTCAAATGTTAGCTTTATTTTTTACATTTGAGATAGTTATACAGTGTCCCAAAAAACATGTATACATACTTTAACAGCTGATAGCTCAGTTGATGTTTCTTTCTTTTTAGCCAGACTAAGCTTTGAACAAATAAAATTTATCCAGTAGGCTTTTTTTATGAGGATACATAAAAGATAAAGTTTACGGCACAAAACAGATGAATTGAGGGCACACAAATAGCGAACAAAATGATTCTTGATGTTTGCTTTTCCATTGCTTCGAGTTACCAGCAGTGCCTGGACCAGAATGGTCATCAGTTTGAAAACAGGCATTGACAAAAACCATTCATTTCTGTAAATTCTTTTAAATTTTTAAAATGAACTGTATATTAATAAACACCATCTTTATAATCATTCAAAGTGTGTATACATTTTTGGGGGACACCCTATATATCTGAATAAAAGTAATGTGTCTGTAAAATAATGAGACTGGTGTCATTAGTCATTCAGTGAATATCTAGTGCTTACACTGAGTAAAGCGCTGTGAGGCTGCACTGAGGAAACAAATGAACAATTCTTGCTGTGAAGGAGCTCACAAGCTTTTGAGAGAGTCAGTAACTAAACTTTTTAAAACTGACTTTTGAAGGAGAAATGAATTTGCCAAGCAGATAGGTATTTGGAGATGTGACGACATGCCACTTTAGGGAGGCAAGATAGTGCTGGGGTATGAACAGAGACAATACTTAGCTCACATGAAGAGCCACATTTTATGCTCAAGGATGTGCTTTATGGTGTTTTGGATCACTGGCAGTAGCCTGTGGGATTTATTGGAAAGGATGAAGCTAAGGTGGTTTTTAAAACAATACAGACATGAACGGAAAGGGGGAGATATTTGAGTAATACATAGTAAAATTAGTGGTGTTTCTTGTGAAAGAAGTAGAAAGCAACAATTTCCAGATTTCTGGGTTAAGGTTTTGAGTAAGGGGAATTGGAAATGAGTTGTGCTTGGAGGAACCTATTGCCATCCAAAGGAGAGGATTAGTTGGCCATTAGTCTAGCCCAGACTGTGTGTGTGTGTAGTCTAGGCTGGAAGTATTTATCAGACTCCTGGGGAACACCAACATATGAGGGGTTGTAGGAAAAGAAGGCTGAGAATGACAAGACCAGAGAGTGGCATCATGAACATCCAAAGATGATCTCAAGTAAAAAGAATATATGTGCGTGAACGCTTTAAAAAAAAAGGACTAGATTTCTTGGATGGGGAATTGGGTGGCCATGGATGGCATTATGGACTGTTTCAAGGGAAGTAGTGACAGAAGCCTGGTGGCATTATGGACTGGTTGTGTAACACTGTGACAGAGCCTGATTATAGAGAGAGAGGAAACCAGTAAATGTAAACAGGGGTTAACTTGAGCTGTAAGAGGGAAAAGAGATTTTGTTTTGTGATACTAGTATATAAACAATTCTGCTGAGGGATGAAGCCAATGGGGAGGGCTTGATTTTTTTCAGGAAAGGAAGAAAAATAGTGGAAACATCTCATTATTTTATTGTCACATTTCTGGGGTGGTTTTTTTGTTTGTTTTTTTGTTTTGGTCTTTTTTCTATAGGATAAAAGTAGACTGAATCTTTCTGGCATGGTTATACTATGATTATACTTCAGATTAATTTAACACCCTTTCTCAGTGTTCAGATAATAGATTAGTGGAGAAAAACATTTAAATTGTTTTTTGTTTAAATAAATTTAACTCTAACATAGATGAAAAATGTGTTTACTGCTTTCAGTCGGCCAGATAAAAAGAAACGTACGGTAAATATTGAAAACTCCAGACATCGAAAACAAGAGCAGAAGCATCCTCAGCCACAACCTTATAAGAGGGAAGGTAAATGGCATAAATATGATCGCACTAATGGAAGACACATGGCAAATGTTGAAATAGAATTGGGGCAGTTACCTTTTGATCCTAAATATTGACCATCAGGATTAAGTTAAATTAGAAAACTAGCAAATACGGATGCTTTCTACAATGTTTGTGTTGAAACTAGGATGAAATGATCAAGATAATGTCTTTTTATCATTTCTAAGTATCTGTTTGATGACTTTATATTACTCAGAAGCATCAAGCAAAAGCTTACTAACCTGCATTTTCCTGTGTAGCTTTGCTGAATATTTTTTGGCACTGGAAATGTTCAACTATAGTTCTGTTAAGGAAGCCAGGCATGCAACAGGTTCTGTGCATGAAATGAGACTTCCTTTCAGTGTTTGAGCTTAAAGCAAGCTCAAGTCATACATGACAAAGTGTAATTAACACTGATATTTGTGTGAAATTTGCAGTTGAGCTTGAAAAAAGTACATTGTGATGAAATTTCTTCTTTAACATTTTATAATTTTACTCTTGCTTCTTGTCTTTTTGTGGGTTCAAGAGCCCGTAGACTTGTGAAGAATTTGCTGCCTTCTTATGAGCTTGCTGACTTGTTCTCTTGTGAAATTTCTTGCACATCTGAATATTGTGGAAGAAACAATAAAACTACAACATGAGGAAAACTAAAGGTCTTTATTTAAAATCTGGGCATTGTATTAATATACAATTTTATATTTTGTGATAATTTTCGTACATTTCCTCAGTAGTAATATTTGGTAGAGCAGTTCAGAGGTGTTTTGCTAGTTCCATGAATCTTACCCAGAGTTTACTAGTGTATTTAAGCAGCATCTGAATACTTTTACCGAGCAGTGTTTTTTTCTCTGGGAAAGATCTAAAAACAGTTCAGAATTTCATCTTCTATAGAGTTGCCCTTTTAACTTCCGTTCATAGATGTATATGTGACTTCCGGTTCGACCCTCTGGCAAGTGAGTGTGGAAGAAAATAGCAGTTCTCTCATAGTTTCTTGAAATTAAGAAAGCACTGATTTCCTAGAAATAAATGTTTAAGTAAATAAAGGCTACATTTTGCTCAGTACTGTTTCAAGAATTTTAGAATGACTTATTCTGATTTGCGCCTGTACTACTTAATAAAATAAAACAATGCAGTTTCTTAAATCATGGTAAGTAATGTATATACCTTGATATACATAGAACTGGAGCTGATTTTGTCTAGGGAAAAGGCCAATTACAAAATTATAGGGGTTAAAAAGGACCATAAAAAATTATGTTGTCTAATTCCGTGAGTGTTTACTAAACTTCAGGTGAAATAAAAGTACTGTTTTTCCCTTTTTTCATGTTTTCTTACCTCTTCCAAAACGTTGAAAATGATCAAGTAAGTAGGCAACGTTGAATTGTTGTGAAACTCTTTATACAACCAGCTTAAGGGATTTTGATAAAATACATCTGCTTCATCAAGATACTGACTTTTTCCAGTTAGGTCTGGGGGACACTGGAGAAATCTCATCGGAAGTGGGTGGTGGACATGGCTATGAAAAGAAAGTTATTGTGGAAGTTTTCAAATTGCTCTTAAGATATATCGTGTTTACATAACAAAATGTGAAATCTGAATCTATATTGGGTTCCAATTTAGGTGAAAAAGCAAGCCTTTAATGCAGTTTTCTCAAAGTTGGAGAATATGATTTTCACACCATGTACCTGTGCAGTAGCACCTTTATAAGAGTTAGTATTAGAGAGCAATGTATGTTCACTGATTAACATCCAAATAAGTAATGGTTTTACTGTGGCCTAGAAAGACTAGAGAATGTATAAAAAAGATGGACTGATGAATTATGACAAGTTAATGCCAATTACTTGAACCATGCAAAAAGCATGTTTATAACTTTGCCTTAGGAAAAATTAATAAAAATAAATATATGATAGAGGTTTATTTTATCTATGAAATGCATACAAAGTAAATTCACACAAGACCTAATACTTCATGACTCTTATAATTTTGGAGAAGATGGGCAAAGCAGAAACAGCTGGCAGCCTTATATTCCAAAGGAGACATCAGAGTTTTTTTACTGCATTGTGTACTTTGAAAAAGCCTCTGATGAGAACTTGATGACATCCAACATCGCAACTATGTATGGAAAGCAACTTGGTATCTCTAGAATGCATGTTCTCTGCAGTGTTGCCACTAATGTGAGCAGGAAGGGCGGTGAATGTCCCTCTTTCACCTTTAGTCTTCCTTATATAGTAGGGGAAGCTGAAGTTGAAGGGATATTTGGGTCTTACATCTAACCTGTACACTTCTGCTAGGTAATCCTAATTTTCCAAATTGTGTATAAATGATTGACATAAGTAGAGTATTAAAAAATGATAAATTACCTTAAAAAGATAACATTGATAAGTTGACTGTGCACATGGAAAATTAACTTAAGATTGTTTAAAGCCAGATTAAGATTAAGTTAAATAGGTGTAGAATTTCCTGCAGAAAAGCTGTTTGCCCTTGTACAATTAGGCAATTAGTAACTAGTACACCTTCCTGAAATAACACGCATTGGGCTAAACGTATGTCTTTAAATGTCCTGCAGAGTTAAGACAATGTTATTGTTATATTCCCAGAAACATTAATTCAAGAATTAGGATATCATCTAATCGAATTCACTAACTTTTATAGGTGAGACAACTGATACCCAGAGTTTAAAAAGACTGACTGGTTTAAGACCAGGACAGTCATCCAGCAGTAAATCTGGACTAGAAGCCAGTGTTTTGAGATTAAAATTGTATATATATATAAGATATATGTATCACAAAGATCTGTGATAAAGTCAGTGATAATTTCTTTACTAAGAATACCAGCAAATAACCTATATAAAATTTATATTATATTTGAATCTGATTACTTAAATCTAAATTGTTTAAAATTTTTAAAAAGGATATTGAAGTTAAAAGTGGTATATGATTTTAATTGACATAAATGCTTTTTAAAATTCGGTGAATAAATATGGAGTTTCAAATTTTTTATAATCATTTGATCAGTGATCAATTAATTTAAATTCCTAATTCCAGAACCTGAAAGGAATTTTAAAGTAGTTTCATTTTCTTAATGATTGCATGTAGTGGAGCAACTTTTATTACCTATAAAAAGGAGTAGAGTGGCAAGGCATCATTACAAATACTGAAGCTGCAGATTTATTGAGATTGTTGTATCCGAGTTCTTGAATATGAGTCATGACATCAAGAGTACCTCTTTGATGAACTAAACCAGTATAGAGGGCAAGGAGCATATTTGATAAAAACAGGAAACTTAGAGCTGGTTTCTTCCACATTTTCAGGTGGTTTAGTGAATACCCTGTATGAAGATAGACATGACATGTTTTATAATCTTTTGTGGAAGTAGCACAGCTGTAATGCTGTCATGGACATACAAGTTATATATAACCAGTAGGTCACCTTTATAATTGACAATTCACTATCATTGTCCGTTGTGATCTCGGTCTTAACCTTTTTATAGAAAAAGGAATTGAAATATAATTGAAAAATTATGGCCAGAGTGTCCAGCAGACCCAGGTTTGAATTCTGACTCTGGCACAAATTGCTTTACTTTGCTGAGCATCAGTTTCTCCATCTGCAAATGGGATAATGGTACCTTTTTCAAGTATTAGTAAAAAAGGTATGTCCGGTGCCTGTCCTGGTACATAGTAGTTGCTAAGTAAATAGAATCATTGATCAGCTGCCTTCTGCATGCCCCCTACTGGGGACTGAGCCCACAACCTGGGCACGTGCCCTGACCGGAACCGCAGCCTTCTGGTTCATAGGTCTGCACTAAACCACTGAACCACGCTGGGTGGGCCAATTTCCCTTTTTTTTATGTGACAAAAAAACCTGGTAGAACAAACAAGGATAAATTAAAAGTCCCTATCTCCCTCCCACAGTCCTCTCTAGCAACAGCCATTGATAATGAGCACATTAGAATCTGTTGAAAATACCATCAAAGAACAGGCCATTACACTAGAAAAGAATAATCTTTTTTTTTTTGGTAATATATTTTTATTGATTTCAGAGAGGAGGGGAGAGGGAGAGATAGAAACATCAATGATTAGAGAGAATCATTGATCGGTTGCCTCCTACATGCCCCCTCCTGGGTGTGCCCTTGACCAGAATCCAACCTGGGACCCTTCAGTCCGCAGGCCGATGCTCTATCCACTAAGCCAAACCGGCTAGGGCAAAAAGAATAATCTTATTAGTAAAGCTCCTTGACATTAGGTTTCATACTCCACATACATTGTCTTCACAGAATAGATAATAGTTCTTTTGGAATTTGGGTATCCAGGATCCAGTCTGTGGCCTGCCTGAAATTTTAGCACTAATTCTCACTGGGGCCAACACACAGTTTTCTATGACCATTACCTAGATGACTGCTATCAGCGGTCTTATCCTGAACATGAATAAAATTAATTTAGAGCTGTTTCCATTTAACTGCAACTAACAAAGTTGGCCTAGGAAGGATTGATGAAATCAAAGTTGGGCAAAAAATCTTAAGTGCTCAATTTTGTTCTGTGAATATTTTAGATAACATTACTTCTGGTTCATTTCATTCAGTAGTTGGACTATCACATCCATTTCACCTAGTACTGTTTGAAATAACTCTGCGATTATCCAAAGAACATTACGAAGAATGGTGATAAAAAACATAGCCAGATGAAGAACCCCCAAACCTTCATTTAAAACTCAAATTTGTAAGATGTTTGAAATGGTAAAATGAGGAACCTACTAAAGAGGATGAGAACTAGAACTATCTTTGTTACAATGGAAATAGGGTTCCAAAAGTTCTGCCATCTGTAATAATTCCAGCCACAGATAGAGCAGACTATTGAATACAACTTGAAAGTGACGTGCTTTCTACTTAGTGGGCTCAAATTTCACAGTCTTACTTGCTCTCAGGAATGTTCAAATAAGTGTACCATGGGCCTCTAAAATGGTTCACTCATTAACAATTTGTTCACTATGATCATTAAAAGTGTTATCAAAAATTATGGCATTAGGGATACAGTAGCTTGGGCAACTGGTACAAAGTAGAATACGAGGTGGTGAATACAAGGTGGTAAAAATGGCATTCTGCAGCGAATGCAGGAAGATAATGTGCTTGTATTCCCAGCTTCTTAAGTATTGAAGGGGGTCTTCTAAGTTAGGTCATGCTTACATTACTTGGTGGTGATTTCACTTTCTGAGGCTAGCTCACTTTAGAATGATGGATCCTTTCAGTGAGAAATGAATTTCCATATTTGGAGAAATAATAAAGCTTTAGGAAGAGAAAGAATAGTCTAATATGACTGAGGGTCTTCAAACCATCCCCATGTTGCTAAAGGGAGAGTAGGAAAGATACCAGCTTGAAGCTAAACTGAGTCATAAGAGAAGCTCAGAATCCATGGTTTTCTTATAGGGACATAGTATGGCTTCTTTAATATTTAAAAGAGGTAATTAACAAGATCTTAATAGCTACCATCAGTAAGTCTACTTAATTGAACATGTAAGGAGGAGATGCAGCAGATCTTAATAGCTACCATCAGTAAGTCTACTTAATTGTACATACATGTAAGGAGGAGATGCAGTTGTCACTAAAATGAGCTAGCTTCACAAAGTTCGTCATCACTCTGTAATGTAAGCATTACCTAAATTGAAATATAAATCCCTACTTCCAATAACTGAAGATTCTGGGAACACACGTTTTCTTTCTGTCCTATAAAGCCACTTACAGAAATCTTTCAGCCTCATGTAATTTCCAGTAGAACAAAGACATAGTATGAACCATGTGAATTACCTGTCAAAATACAGGCCTCTTCATTTCACATAGTGGCTAACTCAATGCTAAATTGCATCCCAGAATACTTAATTTTCTCCTGTTATCTGAGCCTACCAAAATATTTAAAAGTAGGTATGTAGAACATTTCTGGAAGAATTTATAAGAAAGTGATAGTTATCTCTGGGGGATGGGGCCAGATGATTAGATGATGACCCTGATGGTTTATCATTTTTTGTACCATGAGTATTTTTATAATTAAAAATACACGGGCTTTTCACCCTCTTTCCTGCTCT